ATTATGCATTGGGAGATAAAAGGTTGATGGGTAGGCTCCAGGATGTACACGTTTATAGAGGGGCAACTGATATATTGGATCATTATTTAGTTGTAGCTACAGTTAGAGTAAGAGGTAGATAGGACAAGAGGAAAATGGCAACAAGTAAGAGGGAGGTGAAAGTGTATAAACTAAAGGAGGAGGAAGTTCAGGTAAGATATAAGCAACTATTGGCAGAAAGGTGGGCTGGTGCAAATATGAGTAGTAGGGGGGGTTGTAGAGGGTTGGAATAGTTTTAAAAATGCAGTATTAGAATGTGGGGCAGAAGTTTGTGGTTATAGGAGGGTGCGTGCAGGAGGAAAGAGGAGTGATAGGTGGAATGATGAAGTAAAGGGTGTGATAAAAGAGAAAAAGGTAGCTTATGAGAAGTTTTTACAAAGCAGAAGTGTTATTAGAAGAGTAGAGTATATGGAGAGTAAAAGAAAGGTGAAGACAGTCGTGAGAGAGTGCAAAAGGAGAGCAGATGATAGAGTGGGAGAGGCACTGTCAAGAAATTTTAGTGAAAATAAGAAAAAATTTTGGAGTGAGTAAACACTTAAACTGTCCAAACGTAGATATACGTTGACATACGGCAGGCTCTGAACGTAGATTTACGTTTATTTTTACATGCTTTCAAATGGGAAAAATCAAGGTCGGAGCACTACGCATGTGAACGTAGACCTATGTTTAGACAGTTTAAGGGTTAAACAAGTTAAGAAAGCCTAGGGAATGAATGGATTTGTCAGTTAAAAACAGAGTAGGGGAGTTAGTAGATGGGGAGATGGAGGTATTGAGTAGATGGTGAGAATATTTTGGGGAACTTTTAAATGTCGACCAAGAAAGGGAGGCGGTAATTTCATTCCCTGGCCAGGGAGGTATACCATCTTTTAGGAATGAAGAAGAGCAGGATGTGAGTGTGGGGGAGGTGCGTGAGGCATTACGTAGAATGAAAGGGAGTAAGGCAGCTGGAACTGGCGGGATCATGACAAATGTTAAAAGCAGGGGGGGATATAGTGTTGGAGTGGTAGGCATTTTTGTTTAATATATGTATGAAAGAGGGGAAGATACCTAGGGATTGGCAGAGAGCATTTATAGTCCCTTTATATAAAAGGAAGGGGGACAAAGATTGTAAAAATTATAGAGGAATAAGTTTACTGAGTATACCAGGAAAAGTGTACGGTAGGGTTATTATTGAAAGAATGAGAGGTAAGACAGAATGTAAGATTGCAGATGAGCAAGGAGGTTTTAGAGTTGGTAGGGGATGTGTAGATCAAGTGTTTACATTGAAACATATATGTGAACAGTATTTAGATAAAGGTAGGGGAGTTTTTATTGCATTTATGGATTTAGAAAAGGCATATGATAGAGTGGATAGGAGAGGAATGTGGCAAATGTTGCAAGTATATGGAATAGGTGGTAAGTTACTAAATGCTGGAAAGAGTTTTTTTGAGGATAGTGAGGCTCAAGTTAGGGTGTGTAGAAGAGAGGGAGACTACTTCCCAGTAAAAGTAGGTCTGAGACAGGGATGTGTAATGTCACCATGGCTGTTGAATATATTTATAGATGGGGTTGTAAAAGAAGTAAACGCTAGAGTGTTCGGAGAGGGGTGGGATTAAATTATGGGGAATCAAAAACAAAATGGGAATTGACACAGTTACTTTTTGCTGATGATACTATGCTTATGGGAGATTCTAAAGAAAAATTGCAAAGGTTAGTGGACGAGTTTGGGAGTGTGTGTCAAGATAGAAAGTTGAAAGTGAACATAGAAAAGAGTAAGGTGATGAGGGTATCAAATGATTTAGATAAAGAAAAATTGAATATCAAATTGGGGGGGAGGAGTATGGAAGAAGTGAATGTTTTCAGATACAGTGGACCCCCACATAGCGACCTTAATCCGTGCAAGAGGGCTGGTTGTTATGCGAAATGTTCGGTATGCGAATGAATTTTCCCCATAAGAAATAATGGAAATCAAATTAATCCGTGCAAGACACCCAAAAGTATGAAAAAAAAAAATTTACCACATGAAATATACATTTTCCTACACACAAAGAGAAGGATACATGCACAATAGTAGAGTAGTACATGCACAATATATATTGTGCATGTACTACTCTACTAAATGAAGAATAACTGACACTTACCTTTATTGAAGATGCAGCAATGACTGATGAGACACTGTGTCCTGGGAGTGCCTTTTCCTCCTGAGTACTGTAGGTCCTGTTTGGCATTTTCTTCCAGAACAGGCCTTATCACACTGTGTATGCCACTACGATTCTTAAATCTCTCAAACCAACCTTTGCTGGCTTTAAATTCACCAATATTAGCACTAGTTCCAGGCATTTTTCCCTGTTCACCTGGGTGTTAGTCGACTGGTGTGGGTTGCATCCTGGGAGACAAGATTAAGGACCCCAATGGAAATAAGTTAGACAGTCTTCGATGACACTGACTTTTTTGGGTTATCCTGGGTGGCAAATCCTCTGGGGTTAATTGTTTCTTGGTATTCTCAATAAGCTACACCAACAACGGTGCTACAGCAGCAGCAGCAGCTGACGGTGGTACAGCAGCAACAGACGATGCTACAGCAGCAACAGACGATGCTACAGCAGCAACAGACGATGCTACAGCAGCAACAGACGATGCTACAGCAGCAGCAGACGATGCTACAGCAGCAACAGACGATGCTACAGCAGCAGCAGATGATGCTACAGCAGCAGCTGACGGTGGTACAACAGCAGCAGCAGCTGACAGTGCAGCAGCAGCTGTACCACCAATAGTAGCGATGGTTGACTGGGGTTTATTATACAACCTGGCCAGCTCGGAGACACGCACTCCACTTTCATACTTATCAATGATCTTTTTCTTCATCTCTATAGTAATTCTCACCCTTATTGCTGTAGGGTTGGCACTAGAAGCTTTCTTGGGGCCCATGGTCACTTATTTTCCAGAAAAAATCACCAAAAACACTGTAATAATACGAAATGTTCCGATTGTATGCTTGGATGTTACCGCGGAGGCTGGCTGGTAAACAATGCCACCGGCGGAACATGTGAGCGTGGCTCAGGCCGCACATTGGACGCGTCTCGGACGAAGGGCGGTGAGCGGGTTTTTGGGCAGTATGCAAGGCAAAATTTTTGCGAAAAAAGCGAGCGGTATGCGGATTGTACGGTATGCGATGCGTGCGGTATGCGGGGGTCCACTGTATTTAGGAGTTGACGTGTCAGCGGATGGATTTATGAAGGATGAGGTTAATCATAGAATTGATGAAGGAAAAAAAGGCGAGTTGTACGTTGAGGTATATGTGGAGACAAAAAACGTTATCTATGGAGGCAAAGAAGGGAATGTATGAAAGTATAGTAGTACCAATGCACTTATATGGGTGTGAAGCTTGGGTTGTAAATGCTGCAGCAAGGAGGCAGTTGGAGGCAGTGGAGATGTCCTGTCTAAGGGCAATGTGTGGTGTAAATATTATGCAGAAAATTCAGAGTGTGGAAATTAGGAGAAGGTGTGGAGTTAATAAAAGTATTAGTCATAGGACTGAAGAGGGGTTGTTGAGGTGGTTTGGTCATTTAGAGAGAATGGATCAAAGTAGAATGACATGGAGAGCGTATAAATCTGTAGCGGAAAGAAGGCGGGGTAGGGGTCGTCCTCGAAAAGGTTGGAGGGAGGGGGTAAAGGAGGTTTTGTGGGCGAGGGGCTTGGACTTCCAGCAAGAATGCGTGAGTGTGTTAGGAGTGAATGGAGATGAATGGTGTTTGGGACCTGACGAGTTGTTGGAGTGTGAGCAGGGTAATATTTAGTGAAGGGATTCAGGAAAACTGGTTTTTATATAGCTAGACTTGAGCCCTGGAAATGGGAAGTACAATGCCTGCACTTTAAAGGAGGGGTTTGGGATATTGGCAGTTTGGAGGGATATGTTGTGTATCTTTATATGTGTATGCTTCTAGACTGTTGTATTCTGAGCACCTCTGCAAAAACAGTGATTATGTATGAGTGAGGTGAAAGTGTTGACTGGTGATGAAAGTATTTTCTTTTTGGGTCACCCTGCCTCGGTGGGAGATGGCCTACTTGTTAAAAAAAGAAAAATGAAAGTTTCTCTTTTTAAATTTAGTAATTTATACAGGAGAAGGGGTTACTAGCCCCTTGCTCCTGGCATTTTAGTCGCCTCTTACAACACGCATGGCTTATGGAGGAAGAATTCTGTTCCACTTCCCCATGGAGATAAGAGGAAATAAACAAGAACTATGAAAAAAATAAAAGAAAACCCAGAGGGGTGTGCATATAAATGCTTGTACATGTATGTGTAGTGTGACGTAAGTGTAAGTAGAAGTAGCAAGATGTACCTGAAATCTTGCATGTTTATGAGACAGAAAAAAGACATCAGCAATCCTACCATGTAAAACAATTACAGGTTTCTGTTCTACATTCGGCAGGATGGTTGCTGTCTACCAACCTACTATCTACAATATATACATATATTTTAATTCTTGGATCCTGCGGGAGAGGGGGTTATTTTCAGATTAGGGGTCTGGACCTTCAAAGGGTTAAGTAAATCTGAAAGGTATTTGCTGTATAGTGTAAAAGTCTATGGCATCATAATGTCTACAATGCTTAAATCATAATACAAGATTTGTGTTTGCTAGTCTGTCCCAAAGTATTTAGATTCAATAAAATGACTTTTAGTTTTGGTATGCTATATAACAGTGACAAAGGACAGTGACATAAAATTAGAATGTTTTTACAGTAACAATTTTAGTAAATTATTTTCTTGAATTATGGCAATACAATCTTGGCATGCCAGTAATTGTCACTGGCAAAGTTCATTTACAAAGTAGTCTTGTTTTATTACAGAGCAAAAAAAAAAAAATTGTGACAATTTTACTTAAATGCATTCAAAATATTTTTACTCAAACTTCAAGTGTTACCCAGTTTACTGGATTTTTTTCTTTTCAGAATATTTAAGTGATCTCTTTCTTCTTTTTCAGTGGGTATGAATAAGATGACTGGCAGCCAGATGGATTTAAGTGCATTTGGTGTAGTATAAGGGTATATTTATAGTTTTATAAATTCTGTGTTTCCACTGATTTTGTCACGTGGTGTTCCAGTCATGAATCATATGAAATTGTCCAATAAATTTCATACACAAGAAGCTTTTCTTTGCCCCTATGGTCAGAATACTGTACTATTTTATTTCAGTATTTTGTAATTACATAATACATCGGAATGACAAGAGACTTAAGGTTGCATAACATATTATAGCCCATTGTTATGTTGTTGTCCCTTATTACTTTGATAGTGAGGATCTCACTACATGTTCTAGTGTGGGGTAGCTTTTTACATAAAGGCCTTATCAGTCTAGGGTAATACATTCATGATTGATCATCCTCAATCTTTTCACTAGCCCTCTTCACAGGTTATTTAAACTACTTCTATAAAAAATAGACCTGTATTCTAAATAGATACGTACAGCACTCACATATTCAAAACATAAGCCTGCACACCCCCTAGCTGCTCTTTTAGGACAGCCCACATGGCATCTGAACAATTTGCCCTTCTTTCTTCTTGACTAATCTCTGGACTAACCAATGTTTTGACACTTTAGTCACCCTGGGTATGGTGGCTACAACAATGCCCAAAAATAAAAAGAAGGACCCAGAGATCCTACCAGCTTGAGGCCAACAAGGGGAGAGAGAAAGGGAGGGGCCTAGCTAAGCTCCTCCCACACCCACCAAAACAACAAAAGACTGTTGCCAAGCACAATTCTCTAGTTATCACAACTCTACCACACCTTATTTTACTTTTGTAAAAGAAATACAACTTTATAAACTTATTTAAATTGTGTATTTGTGTGTGTATAGTATAACCTATTACATTGAGAAAACAGGCTTGACTCAGCTGCCTTACAGCCATGCCCTTCTGACATTTAAGCAGTTGTGCTCCCATTATTTCAATATAATTAGGTATTCCAGAGTAACTGTTACTTATATATTATATCAGTATGTGTTGTTTCCCATAGTCCCATAACACCCCCACCTCCAGACGAAGTCTCACAAAAGCTAGCCATGTCCCTCAGGATACGGTTAGTAAAAAATTATATATATATATATATATATATATATAATATATATATATATATATATATTATATATATATATATATTATATATTGCTTTAGCCTGAAGGTGGTTAGCAAGACTACTAGAAATGTTACATATTTCCCAGCACCATAACTACTCTTCACTTTACTGTTATTTACAACAAAGTGACGTACTACATGGCAATCTACAAATATTGTGGCTCCACTGAACCTTCCCAGATGACACGTGCACTTCCACCCCATACTATATAAAACCCTAAAAGGAACAGTACTGGGACAGATTGCAGAGTTTTTTAGAAAAGCATTTTAACCATACCCACATACTCAAGGGTGTAACTATTTACAATTTTAGTGGCTTTTAAAACATAATACACATTACAATGCAAGAATTGCACAAAATGCCCACTGAAAGCCTGCACCAACAGGCCTGTGTCTCTGCTGTGGTAATCCAGCAAGCAACTGGTACTCCAGGATGGCATCTTCCTGATCAGGAGACGAGAGTAGAGCCAAACCCAGAGCAGTCAGGTGTACACCAGGCAGGAAACTTCACAAAACATGTCAAGGTGTCTCTCACTTGGTGACCAAACAGTGAGACTTACAATTAACACTCGCGATCCTTAATGTGGTCAGGTACTCGAGCCCATCTTCCGAGGTCCCACTCCACACACATCCTCCAACCTTATGAAGAGGAGGCTGATATAGAACATGGAGGGGTCCAAGGGACCACAAAGGCAAATCGTCAGGCCATTTCGTACAGAGAGCACACCAAGACACAATATACCACATACCTTCCTGAACATCTCAAGTTATCGAAGGATGTCAACCTCTGCCTCAAGTCACAAATACGTACATATACAGTGACCCTCGTCACACTTTTGGCTCCAACTCGTCTCCGTCACAGTCGGATGGCTGGGAGGGAATACTCATGCTTGCCGAGAGTTCACCACTGCAACAACAACAAGGTCAGCACATGACAAACACTATGTACAAAGTATGCACCATGCGTCTACATGAAACATCTAGAGAGAGCATCAGCAATCACATTCTGAGCCTTTTATATATTTAACTTCCAAATTAAAAGGTTGTAGGAACAAAGCTCATTTTAAGAGTCTGATTGTAGTCACCATACACAGGAACAGGGTGAAGAGATCCCGAGGCATATACAAATGCTGAATAGCCAGCCCCAAAATGAAAATTTTCTTTCCTGGGATAAAGTGTTGACATTCAAACTTAGAAGGTTGTTCATGGATAGTAACAGTTCTGCAACCTCTCGCAGTACAAAAACAAACACCAAAGACATCTCTTTGCACCCAGGTTGTGTACATCAAGTTTACACAAATACACGTACCATCATGTTCCATCTCACACATAAATTTCAAGTACACAATGAACACAATTTGCATTACACACATGGAAATGGTACTTGCACACAGGCCATGGAAATCACATCTTCCTGCCCCATGTTTTAGTTTATTTAAAATGTTTGCATCTCTTAGTGCATCAGTATCAGTCTTTCTAAACCTGTAAACCTTAGTTAAATTTACCTTGTGGTAGTCAGTGCATATGCCCAGGATGCCATCTAATTTGGGAACCGTGAAGCATGGGAATGCCCACTGACTCTCACTAAGCGCTACAAACTGGTGTTGGAAGAATTTAATTTCTTCTTCTAAAGTTCCAAGGTGGCTGAGCCAACTCTCCAACATTTTTCTCATTAAAACCAAGCATGCATTTCCCAAAATCTTGTACAAATATGTTGTTTCTTAAATACACCTTTGCTATTTCAGAGATTATTGTTTTGCACCCCTTTACATTCCATTGGTCTCCCTGGATTTTTGACATGACTGCAAACACTTTAACTGGTTACTTTGTAAATTGTACTCATTCTTTTCCTGCTCGGGCACATGGGTTTTATATCTAACCCCTGGGAACTTCCCCCACAACATGTTTAGCTCAAAGCAACTTGCCATACAGATTTTCACATGAATTGGCTCCAGTATCAGCACTTCCTCTCCAGCCTCCAGAGCATTATGGTCCCACATCATCATCCTGGTCTGGTTGATGGGCACATTCATTGGTACCATCCGCCTCATACGAGCCAGTGTCTGAAACTGAGAAAAAGCTCCGAGGGAGGAGCATCACCATCCTCCCCAAGCCAATAGCTCAGAGATTCCAGTGCTTCCCCACTCAGCAAATACAAAGAAAGTGATCCTCTCATCCCAGTTGTTAGTATGGTCTATACCATAGGCTTGCATCATTGTCTTGAGGGTTTAATGTAATTTCTCTATTTCCCCTTGAGATGGAGGGTGATAGGCAGTTGAAAACTGAGGCTCTACTTTTAATCCCTTTAAAACATTTCTAAATAACTTTGAGGTAGTTAGGTCCTTGGTCTGTTTGTACCTCTTGAGGAAAACCAACATGAAAAAAGAACTTCATCAAAACCCTTAAGACTACATGAGCTGTTATCTTATGCAGGGAGACTGCTTCCAGGTACCTGGTAGTGGAGCAAACAATTATGAGTAAATAATCATTTCCCAGTTTGGTCCTTGGGAATGGACCAAGTACATCTACTACCAGCTTGCTGAAGGGTTCACCTGGTGCTGAAATAGACTGAAGGGGAACAGGGTTAATATTTTGACTAGGTTTCCCTATAAATTGAAAGACATGATAGGTCTTAATATACAGTCTGACAGTCTCCCACAGCTGAGACCAGAAGAAATGCCTGGAAACCTTGGACTTCACCATCTGGTGACAAAACCCTTGTTCTTCCATCAGTACTGCAAACAGAGGCAACTTCTTTGAAAGAGTTTCCTCCTTGAAATGAAAACCCTTATTTAATTGTAAAATCTCTTCCTCAGCAACAGCTGAGGCTCTGATCAGCTTAAGAGTGACATTTTCCTGTGCAGAAATTAATTGCACCCTAGTAGATGCAGCCTCTCTCACACTACTTAACTGATCCATTCTCCAATCAGGCTCAGCTCTGGCTGGAACATCCTTTTCTTCAGTTGACTGCAGTTCAACATCAAAAAACAGTTTCCAGACTTAAGCCCTCACCATCCTCATGAGAAATATCATGAAGACTATTGGTAGCACAAAAATGAGCCATATTTCTCATGGTGGAACCATCAGGGAGAAGGTCTGGCAGGCTTTCCCTAGCCTTCTCCTCCCAACCTTTGGGGCTTGGTTCCCCCCAAACTAGTTGTTCCTCACTGTCTAACAGACCCATAACGTTATTCCCCAATAAGAGGTTAACCCTTTCGAAGGGAATTTCATCTGAAATACCTACAGGGAGATAGCCAACTTGGTATGCAGATTCTATCCATAATTTGTGTACAGGTGCCTTTATGGTTGAACCTGTAATACCGTTCAATAATATATCTACCCCAGTATAGGTATCCTTAGACACTGGCAGCACTCTAGCACGTAGCAAGGAGTAGGTGCTACATCCATCTCTCAAGAACAGTATGTTCTCAACTCTGCCTACATCCTTTTGCAAACCAACTGTGGATCTGCTATAAAATACACACATCCTGGGGGAGATCCGAAGGTTCCTCCTCACCTTGCCTTGAAGACCTAATGCAGGCAACTGGATGTATCTCTGCAGTTAGGGTCTCCTGGGATGGTTCCTCCCTTACCTGATCTCGCCGTCTTGACCAGCAAAACTTTTGTGTGTGTCCAGTTTTGTTACAGTAGTAACAGGCATAACTCTTAAAGGTATTTTTACCATTTGGTGTAGGACTGGTACTGTTTATTTGAGGACCTGAAACATTATCTAATGGTCGGGATAAACTTAGAGCTCCAGCTGACTTACCTTTTCCTTCTAATTTAGAGGGTGCCTCAGCCTTCGTTTGTCCCTGAAAATTCTTGTCCCACTTACCTTTATGATCATAGGAGTTGGAATAAGGCTTAGAATGAGTGAGGAAATTTTCAGAAGGAGCATGACTGTTTTTACTTACCAGCTCCCTGCGAGCCAAGAATCTGTCACCCAAATCCAGTGCTTCTGAAAGATTATCTGGGTTTTTGTCCTCCAGATATTCTCTGAGATCAACAGGGATT